TGATGACAGGATGTGGAAATTACAGAGCAATTTCCGACGAACTGATGTTTTCAGAACATAGTGACCTCTAACCGTGACTAGTGATATGTAGGCAGACACGTAGGTTAGGCTGATATTGTGTTATTGGAGATTTGAATATGGCATCAAGTGTTCAGGTTAACATTCAGAATTGTAAATAAATATAAATGTAACGTTAAAAACCTTAAACATTTTGTGCATTTTAAAGTTAAATGCATAAATCTGGTGCACGTCAACCCCTTTTCAGTGACCAAGCCAAACAATTGGAATACAATAATAAAGAAAGAAAATAATATATTCAAATTGTTGGTCTAATTATTAACAGATTGATGAGGATGATGATGATGATGGTGATTGTTATTGTTAATTTTAAGTTAATGTAATGTGAACAATAATATTAAACCATTGTTAGAATTAATGTAATATTTATATTAAAATTTATTTATACAATTATGAAGTATGCATTTATTTTTACAGTCCAAGTGTATTGTAGTATTATTGTTGTTGTTGTTAACATTAAGAAATAAATATATTACTACTATAATTCCCTTGCACTGTAAAAAAAAAAACAACAAAAAAAAAAATATATATATATATTCCATCAATTATATACATTATTTTCTATAGTGTAAATATTATATTAATAATTAATCTTTGTAAATAAATGTTAATAAATACAAATAACAATTTTTCAAGTTTTGTACATTTTAAAGTTGAATGCATCAATAATAATAATAATAAAAAATAATATTTATATATTATTTGGCTTCCTAAAAATCTTTGTGAATGTAATGTGGTCTGATTATATTATAATTAATACTAAAAATTAATTTATAAAATTATGAAATATTCATTTATTTTACAGTGCATGTGTATTTTATTGTTTTATTATTGTTAACATGAAGAAAGAAGTATATTGCTACTGTAATATCCTTGCACTGTAAAATAAAAAAATGTATAATTACAAATGATTTTCTAATATAAATATTATATTAAATATTGATCTTTTGTTATTATTAGAAGTGTAATATATTTTAGATTCATTATCAAGTTAATAGTTCATAAGAAACATTGATTTATTGAGTCAGTTCTACTCATACTAGACTGGTGTGTTTTTGGTATCAGGTGCGTTTGACGTCCAGTGTGCACAAAAGCTTATATGAGTGACGATTTCTTACGACAGGCCTGTTCTGAGCTCTGCGCATTTCATTCTTGCTTTCTCTCCCTCCTTTATCTGCATGGCCTTGGCGCTTGGCTACGTTTCCCTCTCAACAGAGATGACGCTGTAGTGAGCGAGCGCGTGCTGCACGTATTCTTGTGAGTGGGCGGCAGTGGGAAAGTAAGCTCTGCCCTGAGACCAGAGTCAAGGAAGTGTGGCGTAATGACTCATTCGTAGAGTGCAGTGTGTGGCTGCATGTGCGGAGGATGAAAAGCGGCGTCCTCTGGCCTCGCTGCCGCCTCTTCCACCCCCTCTGAACGTGGCTCACAAATTTCCCAAGATCCCCGTCACTCCCTCAAGCCTGGGTCTGAATCCAAATGTGTCCGGCAGAGCGTGCAGACATTCGCAGGTCTGCGTTCGGTGTAAAATCCAAGCGTTATCGGTCTGCGCGAGGCAGGGAGATTTCCATGACAAAGACTCAGTCGTCTGGGGTTTCAGACCCCCCTGTTCGTCTGGCTGCGTGTGAAAGGCTGGGGTCTCTCAGACTGGCCTGTGTCTGCTGTAAGAGGCCCACCAGGTAAAAAGGGATTTAACTTCCTGACAGAGCAGCCATGCAACAGCAAGCGCTCACATCTGCAGCTGACTTGCTTCCGGAAGTATTTTTCCTATTCGTTTTTTATGGGCACTTGAACCAACCAAGTCTGAGACGAATCACTTTTGATTCGAAGCTAAGAAGGTACATGCTCATGTACTTTGTCTTTTATAAATCAAAGCATTTTCAGTTATTTACATTTCAGTATTTAGCAATATCCAAAGCAACTTACAAAAAAGGAACAAAGCAATTTATCAAAGAACCAACAATAATTGTAATACGCAATTCCAGGTTTATTAAACAATTATGAAATTGAATCATAAGAAAAGGTGCAATATAAACCTTCACTATATGATTTTATTGATTGCAAGTGTTACATATACAGTGTCTTTGTATATTTGAAACTTTTGACTTTTTAAAGCAAATGTTTTTGGAATACATCAGTTTCACCAAACGTTTATTTATTTACTTATCTAGTTATTGATATTTGTGTTGGGTGTATTGAACTTTGGGATAAGATTTAAAACAAAAATTGAAATAAGTCTCTTCTGTTCACCAAGAAAAAAACACAATAAAAATAGATATATTGTGAAATATTATTACAATTTAAAATAATTTTGTATTTTAATATATATATATATATATATATATATAAAAATACAAAATTATTTTAAATTGTAATAATATTTCACAATATATCTATTTTTATTGTGTTTTTTTTTTTATATATATATATATATATATTTTATATATATATAATTGATTCTGCTTGTAATTTATGATTATTTGTAATTTTATTGAATTTATGTTCCTTGAGAAACCGTTTCAGAAGAAACATATCTTATTATTATCAATGTTAAAGCAGTTGTAACCTGTAGTTCTAGATTTTTATTATTGTTTTAAAATATATTTAATTTGCTTTTTAATGTTTTTATTCTTTTTTTATATTGTAAATAGATGCTTATTATAACTTTGAATTTTGAGTTTTTTTTATTTCTGTTTTTTTTATTCCTTCTTACTCTTTTTAAGTTTATTGCTTACTTTTTATTGTTGTTTTTATTTTGTACCCTTTATTACTCTCATTATTATTTTTTGATCTTTTTCATTTCATAATATTCTGTGTATATAGGAAGGCTACTTTTTGATAACATTTTGGATTATTGATTAGAAGGTGCTCCTAAAATTTTGAACGTGCTCCTAAATTTTTTAAGTTAGGAGCACAAGTGCTCCTAAAAAGAAAAGTAAGCGTCAAGCCCTGCCCTTAGGCCATCCAAGATGTAGATGAGTTTCTTTCTTCATCTGAATAGATTTGGGGAAATTTAGCATTACATCATAAAGCAATATTATGGGTTATGGACTATATTTTGGCCAGAAGTGATGGTTTAAAATTACATCTTGATGGATTTGTTTCTTACGAACATACAGCTTTTGGCTTCTTCAGATGTTAACTGATGGACTGGAGTGGTGTGGATTACTTGTGGATTGTTGTGATGTTTTTATCAGCTGTTTGGACTCTCATTCTGACGGCACCCATTCACTGCAGAGCATCCATTGATGAGCAAGTGATGCAGTGCTACATTTAATAACATGCATATTCATGTCATGCATATTCATTAGTCTGTTTGTATCAAGGTATTGATTTAGTATTGAGGTACCAGTTGCATGCATCCCTGTTAATGACTAAATGAATGATGAAATCCCAGGCCAATCTAGCCTCAGCCCATTACTGAATGTGAGAGATGAGACATGTCCACAAAAACAGAAGCATGTGTGGCCAGATGTAACTGAGTGGGCCATGAGGTTCACTTTACTACAACTCTTGTACATGGACTGAAATGACTCATGGGTAAGAGATCCCATTTCTGAGGGTGGCAACATTTGATTCAATGAGCATCACCATCACTTCTGTTTATTGTTTTTTTTTTTTCCTGGTCCTCCTCCACAAAGTTGCTGAACTCTGATGTTTTTCTTCTCACAAGGCCCACGAGTGGAAGTTGCCGGCGATGAATCTGCTAGTGTGTCCTGGGTGTCTCACAGTCAGGGAATCATTAACTGCAATCACTGTCAAACTCAGTCATGAAGTTGGTATTACATTTTCAGCATCTCTCTGTAGGCACCAGCCGTCTGTTCAGAGCAATAGCTTCGTCTTTGCCACATGCACACAGCCTCTTCAGACATCGTCTCTTTACCGTTTTCTGCTGAATCTCAGAACTGGCCAGCTGGCACTGACTTGAGAACTGACTCAAATTGAATTAATGTAATTTGAGAATTCAGATTTTTTTTGTTGTTGTTGCAATTTTATGCCAGTTTTGAAAATATATTGTGATATTTGAAAATGGTTATATATTTTTTTATTTATATAAATTGTTTATATTAATTTAAAATAATAATTGTATTTGTTATAAAATACTATTATTATTATTATTGTTGTTGTTGTTGTTATTATTATTATAATAATGAAAAGTGCTTATAAACTAAATGGAAGCTAATTAAAAGTCATTTATTTTACAATAAAATATTACAATAGTGATGTTTCTTATTTTGTCTTTGTTTTTAAATTTTTGTTTAGTAGTAGTAGTGATGATAGTAATAATAATAATAAAAACAACAACAATAATTATTATTATAATTATTATTTTGTAATCATATTGATATGTAATTACAAAATTTGTGACAAATTGTGCAGCCCTACAATAACAGCAAACCTGGAATTTTTAATTGTAATTTAAATCACAGTCAATTTGACAAGAAAAGTCACAATCACTTTCAAACCCAGTCAGTTATTGCTTAAATAATAATAATTATTATTATTACATAATTTATTTATATAATACTATATAAATGTATATAATAATAATAATAATAATTATTATTATTATTAATATTGTTATTGTATTTTTATTTAAATGTTACAAATACAATTATTTTAATATTTAAATATCTAATATAAAAATAGCATTAGTCAATTCACACACATTGAGATTTATAAATAAAAGGCAGGTTGAAGTATCAATGCAACAAAAATAGAAACGGGATGTCCGTCAGCTGAATGTGTGTTGCATCAGGCACTCGAAGTGTTGACGCATTCATTCATTATGTAGTGGGAGTGATTTGGCTTTGAACCATCTAGTTTCATTTTGCGCTGTTGTTGTTTTGAACCTCGCCAGTGATGTTACTGTTTGGTGCAAATGCAAGAGTATGTAACATTTTGTTGCTCTGTCCCTCTCAGGAGACGTTGGGGCCCAGGCCCTGTTCTCCGTGCCACGGAGGCCCGGCTATGGCACCGTGGGGAAACCCATCAAGCTGCTGGCCAACTGCTTCCAGGTGGAGATCCCCAAGATGGACGTCTACCTGTATGAGGTGGACATCAAGCCTGAGAAGTGTCCACGCCGCGTGAACAGGTAAGCTGTGTGGGAGAATCGCTCAAAGCTGATGACCGACTCCTTTATACTCCTCCTGATGAGCGCTGTCTCTGCAGGGAGGTTGTGGACTCCATGGTGCAGCATTTTAAAGTCACCATATTTGGGGATCGAAGGCCAGTTTATGATGGGAAGAAAAGCCTCTACACCGCCAACCCACTGCCTGTGGCGCCTGCGGGGGTAAGCAAACTAAAACAGAGGCACCCACCTAGGATACATTTTAGGTGCACAAATTGTTATCCAGTGACACATTCTGTAGAAAGTTTGCACAATAAAACATGATATTCACAAAGTTCCTCAGTTGAATCTTGTCACTAAAATTGCACATATTAAGAATATTTTGAAATGATTGATATTTCCTGTTGACGTAACCGTTACGGGGTTGTTTTAGTATCATTGATATACAGTTATAGTTTTTAAAAAATATTTTGAATTAGATAATTTTTTTAAATGTCTGTATTGTTTTTAAGTTTTTAGTTTATTTAGTTTGAGTTATTTTAGTACTTCAAGTTTCCTACAATGTGATTTTCTGGATTTTTTTTTCTCATTTTGTCTCTCATAGTTGAGGTATACCTATGATGAAAATTACAGGCCTCTCTCATCTTTTTAAGTGGGAGAACTTGCACAATTGGTGGCTGACTAAATACTTTTTTGCCCCACTGTATATATATATGTGTGTGTGTGTGTGTACTTTTTTGTTGTTGAAATTATTGAAATTTGTAGTTTCCTTGGATGAGATTTAGCATTACTAATATACTGCTATTGCGGGTTTTTTTTTTTTTTTTACACTTTGGATTAGATTTTGTTTTTATATTATGGTTTCCATTTTAATGTTTTGGTAATTTTGTTGTCACTTATTACTTTTTTAATGTCTGTAGTTTTGATTAAGTTTTAGTTTATTTTTTAGTTATGTTAGATATTGAACTAAAGTTAAGTTAAACTAAATGAAAATGAGAAATTTCTTGCTGTTGATTTTTTGTCAGTTAATTTTAATTTCAATGAAAAACTTTTTTTTTAATATAATTGTAGTTTTAGTTAATGATAACCGCCTTGCTGAATATTTGCTGAATGAAGTCCAATTTTGTGGTGCTTATTCCAAAAATAGTGTCCGTTTTGCTTTCTCCCAAAATATGGTGCATTTCATTGTATTTTTGCTTTCAACTACCATTTGTGAAGTGTAGAAGTCTTGTGAATGATTCTGAAGACATTATTCTTTGTCAAATCTTGATTTTCACCTTTTCCCCCCACTCCTTTGCTGAAACTTTTGATTTGACTGCTTTGTTATTTTAAAAAGTACATTAAAACTGACACATGTATATAATATATAATTCATCATCAAATTGGGTAGTATCAGGCCTGTTTTTCAAATGAACATGGTGTATTGTTGCTTTACTCCTTGTTGTGTGTCCACAGGTGGATCTGGACGTTACGCTGCCAGGGGAGGGGGGTAAAGACCGACCCTTTAAAGTCAGTATTAAATTTGTGTCCCTGGTGAGCTGGCACCTGTTGCACGAGGTACTAACCGGTCGCAGTACAGCCGAGCCGCTGGAGCTGGACAAGCCAATCAGCACCAACCCAGTTCACGCTGTGGACGTGGTGCTACGCCATCTACCCTCCATGAAGTGAGTCTCAGATAAACATCAGCTGGTGACCCTGACTCTCCTGCATTTATAGCTCAGATAATATATTTTTATAGTTATACAGAGCCCCCTAACTTGTGTTTGCTGGTTTTTATTGTATTTGTTATACTTGTATTTTTTAAATCGTTTTTGCCATGAGAATAGCCTAAGATGCTGACATGGTATTAAATAAAAATATACTACTACTATACAGGGACCCCAGAAATATTTAAACGCATATTTTAGAGCATTACATATCAAAATATGCAAGCAAGTGCCTTGTTGAAACAAATGATGCTTAAAGTCGGCATGAAGTGGAGGAAATTTTTTAAAAATTATGAGATTAGCCTAATAGTTATTTTCAGCATTAAATTAGTCAGTACTGACATTCATAATGTCACGAAAGATTATACTTCAGATAAATGCCCACCCCTAACTTGTGTTTGCTGGTTTTTATTGTATTTGTTATACTTGTATTTTTTAAATAGTTTTTGCCATGAGAATAGCCTAAGATGCTGACATGGTATTAAATAAAAATATACTACTACTATACAGGGACCCCAGAAATATTTAAACGCATATTTTAGAGCATTACATATCAAAATATGCAAGCAAGTGGCTTGTTGAAACAAATGATGCTTAAAGTCGGCATGAAGTGGAGGAAATTTTTAAAAAATGATGAGATTAGCCTAATAGTTATTTTCAGCATTAAATTAGTCAGTACTGACATTCATAATGTCACGAAAGATTATACTTCAGATAAATGCTGTTCTTTTGAACTTTCTATTCATCAGAGAATCCTGACAAATGAAATGTATCACAGTTTCCACAAAAATATTAACTGTTTTCAACATTAGTAATCAGAAATGTCTCTTTAGCAGCACATCAGCTTATTAGAATGATTTCTGAAGATCATGTGACACTGAAGACTGGAGTAATGATGCTGAAAATTCAATATTTGATATTCGATATGTCAAGTGAACATATCACAAGAAGAGCAAGTTTTGACCTTTTGATTAAAGATTACAAAGCGAATGATTTCTGAAGATCATGTGACACTGAAGACTGGAGTAATGATGCTGAAAATTCAGCTGCGCATCACAGAAATAAATTACAATTTGCTATATATTCACATAGAAAACAGTTAATTTAAACTGTAATATTATTTCACAGTGTATTTTTGATCAAATAAATGCAGCCTTGGGCAGCATAATAGCTTTCTTTTCAAGTAGTGTATTTCTGAGTAAAACCGCTTCACTACAACAAAAACCTGCGTACTTCATAGATGTCAAGTGAACATATCACAAGAAGAGCAAGTTTTGACCTTTTGATTAAAGATTACAAAGCAAAAATATATATAAATAAATGCACCAGTAATCCTTTCATAGTAACATACATTAAGAAAAGAAGTGTTTTTCTTTTCTTGTAGATTTAGTTTTCATGTTTGTTTGTTTTTCCCCCCAGTAATTTTTTATTATTCAGTTTTGATTTTATGCCAGCTGTTGAGTTTTCTTAGACATAGCTTTTCAGCTGGTGGTTTTAGTGGATGCCTGATGTCAGTTCCCCTCAAGTATCACTGAATCCCTAATAAAATACAGCATTTTAAACCTCATTTTGCTGTCTGTGATTGTTTCTCGCAGGTACACACCCGTGGGCCGCTCGTTCTTCTCTGCCCCGGAGGGCTACGACCATCCTCTGGGTGGAGGCAGAGAGGTGTGGTTCGGCTTCCACCAGTCTGTTCGGCCGGCCATGTGGAAGATGATGCTCAACATTGACGGTGTGCGCTGTTTGAGTTTAGCATGTGTGTTAGCACAGAGTGTGGGAACCACTCACACTGTTGCTGGGGAGATGAAGGGCTGAAAGGTGACTGGTGGGGGTTTGTTTGATTGAAGGGGGGCGTTAAATAAGTCTCTCTTTCTCTGACCAAGTTCAACAGTTCTGTGTCCCTCTGTCTGTGTGTTTTCCCGCTCTCTCCGACTCCCACAATTCAATTGGTTGCGTCGGCTGCTCATTCCCCTCCCCACTAAAGGGCAGGGAAAAGTCCAACCGTCTGCGATCGTCTCTCCTTTCACTGTCACATTGTCACACTTATAATGGAGTGAATAGGCTCAGAAAGAGCGCGAACGCATTGGCTTTGAGTTCACGTCAACATTTGTGTAAATGTTTTCTCACAGGACTAATAAAGAGCGACATCTAGATTGCTCCAGATATTTCTGCATGATAAAAGTTTTGTAAAGTCCGTTTAGAAACGGGGAGTAAAAGATGAAGATAACCCACAGCTGAACACCCAGTAAGCAACATTAACTTGTAAAAGTGGACAGTCGTGTGTTGATCTGCTCGCCTGTCAAATACAAGCCACTTTGCATCTTTGTTTTAAGTTGATTTTTACATTTGACATTACAGGTACTTAAAAAGTCTTGAAATATTTGGTTACACGGTATACTGGATCAGGCATTGAATTTAACATACAATTTTGTAGCTTTTCTCTGGGCTGCCCATCAAAGGAAGGAAAGACATAACATTTTATTGAAAAGACATGTTCATTAATATCAGCACAATCTTTTCATTGCCTTTTTTTTTTAAACCTATTATCATAATATCAGCAATATCCGATATCGGTCAACCTCTAATTTGTATATATTGATATATTAGTTCGTAAACCAATTAAAAAGGTCTCAAAATCTTTAAAGTTGACTTGAAAATTTGTAAGTACTAAGGATGTTTAAATGGTATACTAACTACTTTCTGAATGGTATATTCAGAATACTATATATTTATTTGAATAAAATTAAATATATTTTTAGGCCATTTAAACCGTTTTGAAGTCTTAAAAAAGGTTTTAAAAAGTCTGCAGATCCTGAACGAAAATGAGTGTAGTTCTTGCCTATGCAAAATCATGATGGTTCACCACTAATAAATTGTGTTTTTTACTGCAGAGGAGGTATTAAAATCAGTATATTTTGGACGATAATTTTGACTGTTTTAATCCGTTTTCATCTCTTCTGTCTTGCAGTGTCAGCCACGGCTTTCTACAAAGCACAGCCAGTTATTCAGTTCATGTGTGAGGTACTGGACATCCACAACATCGACGAGCAGCCTCGGCCCCTCACAGACTCCCACCGAGTCAAATTCACCAAAGAAATCAAAGGTACGTGTGCTTGTGTGCTCGTCTGTGTTTAGGCGCGTGTGTTCGTTCTGTTCTCATCGGCTGGTTTGTGTGCAGGTCTGAAGGTGGAGGTGACACACTGCGGAACCATGCGGAGGAAGTACCGGGTCTGCAATGTGACCCGCCGGCCTGCCAGCCACCAAACGTGAGTCAAACCGTCAGAGGAAGTCAAGCGTATTGATTGCAGAGGGCAAAGTCACATTGCTTGAATATGATTTTTGGCTTGATTTAAAGGTGCTCTCAGCAATTTGTTTTCAGATTAAAACGTTTTCTACCTAAAATCGAATGTTTTAGATATTGTACTCTTGTGAGACAATGTTAGTCATATGTGACCATGGAGCACAAAAGCAGTCTTAAGTAGCATGGTATATTTGTAGCAATAGCCAAAAATATAGTGTATGGGTCAAAATTATAAATTTTTCTTTTATGCCAAAAATCATTAGGATATTAAGTAAAGATCATGTTCCATGAAGATATTTTGTAAATTTCCTACTGTAAATGTATCAATGTAATTTTTGATTAGTAATACGCATTGCTAAGAACTTTATTTGGACAACTTTAAAGGCGATTTTCTCAATATTTAGGATTTTTTTTTGCACCCTCAGATTCCAGATTTTGAAATAGTTGTATCTCAGCCAAATATTGTCCTATCATAACAAACCATACATCAATGGAAAGCTTATTTATTCAGCTTTCAGATGACGTATAAATCTCAATTTCGAAAAATGTACCCTTATGTCTGGCTTTGTGGTCCAGGGTCACATTATTGGCCTAATAAAAGCCATTTTATTTTACATGGAGCATTTTGCTCCTCACATGATCACCCTAGTATCATAAATAAATGTTTTATGAATGTGTTTCTGCAATGGCTTTAACCTGAAACTTTTGTGTTTGGGTTAATAATTAAAGTGCACCAATAAAACAATACTTGGTATATTCAGAATACTATGTATGTATTTATTTCATATTTTATATCCGTTCGTTCATTAATTAGTTCGTTCATTCTAACATCCTGTGTGTTTCTTCGTTTCAGAGTTTTAAAAATCTCATAATCTGAATTCTGGCCAATCAGCCACAGTTTTTACTAGTTAATAAAACTGCAAAAGTTGAAGTCTTAACATACGAAAAGTTTTATTGATTTAAAATGTTTGTGTTTTAAAATTAATTCATTTTGGGACTAATAGACTGCTTTTTTTTGTGATATTTATATACTGTTATACATTATAGTTTAGAATCTATAATAATATATATTGTATTTATATGTATTTTGAATTAGTTTATTTTTTTTATTACAATTTTAATTTTTTGTTTTGGTAATTTTTGTTAGTAAGTAGTAAAAATATGATCTGAATAGTATACTAACTACTTTCTGAATGGTATATTCAGAATACTATTTATTTATTTGAATAAATAAAAATGAAATCTGTTTTATTAAATTTTTACTGTTCTTATTTAAAATATAGCTGCTTAGCACTCTAGTACAATAATTTTATCATAACTATAAAAAATGTAGTATGTGAAACAATGCATTATGTACTGTAGCTGTAGTATGTTGCATTGTCACATGACCTCGTTGTGTTGCATGCAGGATATTTGCATTTTTTAGCCAGTATGCATAGTACATGCTGCAGAAATAGTAAGAGTAGTGTGCTAGTACGGTGTTTCCCAACCTTTTTTCAGTCGCGGCAACCTTTGGAAATTAACAAACTTGTGGCACCCTACAAAATTAATTTTGTCACAATATTTGAATTTCTAACTTCGATATGATAATTTGAAAAGTATAGATATTCGGTACAACAGTGAAGAACTGCAGAATATAATGTCATACAGATATTTTTAATATTATTAAAAAATTGTCCATCAATGGTGGCAATCAGTAGGCTAATTTATATGACAGATTTAAATGTAGGCTTTTATACATATATAAACATTATTTAATTACCATTATAACTAGCTATCTTACAAATTTTTGCTCACTCAAGTGCTTTTTTAATTTTACAGTGGGGTAATTGTGTTGCTGTAGCACGAGAGAGCTTGATTTCAAACTTTGAATTGAATAAAAAGTCAAGAAAGCAGTCAGTAATAAAATAAGAACAAATAAAGAAATTAATAATGATAGCACAAATAAAAAATAACGACAGGCCTTCAAATTAAATAAATTCCTTTTTAGTTTTTCAGGTAAGTCTAACAGTAGGGTTAAGATATTGAACTTTTTTTTTTTTTTTTTTTACCAATTATCCAAATAATGTTTA